ATCTTCATCACCATCATCTTCATCATCATCTTAATCTTCATCAGCTGTGCAGACAGTGTGTGCTGCTTCTCTCCTGTAGGTGTCGCTCTTTGTCTATATACAGTATGTCCTGGTTCCCCAGGTTCAACGTCAGCTTCAGACGCACCCTCAGCCAAAGGAAGGGTCGGGGCCCCGGTCAGTGTCCACCTCAGGACCAGGATAAAGGTCACATGTCCAACTCAGACGAGGAGGCTGGGATCAGCAGATGGAGAGGTTCACGCTGCCCCTCTGCCAAAACAGCAGGGCGCCCTCTGGCTGTCAGGGTGAGTGAATAAAAAGAAGAAACTGAACAGGAACATCTGTCCTCAGCCTCCATCTGTCTTCACTGCCCTGGTCTCCTCTCTGGTCACAGTTTGGTTCAGAGTCCAGTCACTCGGACCAGGAGTCCAGCGTAGAGGAGGAGGACAACACCGTGTCGATGTCCCCTGCCTCCACAGCCTCCTGCTATCAGACATCTTCACCTCCTCCTCCTCCTCCTCCTCCACCTGCCTCTGCACTCCCATCCCTGGACTCCCCTGGCTGTGTGCACTCTGTCCCCACCCAGTGGAGTGTGGGGGAAGTTTCTCAGTTCATCTCTACACTGCAAGGTTTGTGAGAGTGAGGATCAGTGTGGTTCTACTACCATCAGTCCATGGAACCGATCTGAATGGAACCACCCTGGGTTCTTTAAAGGGAAGTTCACCATACTCAACAACATCTTTAGATTCCTTTTTGAAATTTGGTCTGACTGTCAGATAAAATCTATCAGTGACAAATCAGAGATTTTAGTTCAGACCAAAGTCCATGGAGAAAATCAGTGATTTAACAGTGAGTACTTAGTCTTAATACCAAAGACTAGAACTGATGTATGAGGCCATTAAAGGCCCTGCTCCTCCACACATGGGCGTGGCCATGAGCTTTTGTTGACACTGTGCTCCTCTCTCTCCTCCACAGGCTGTGAGGAGCTGGCCCCTCAGTTCCTGTCCCAGGAGATTGATGGACAGGCCCTCCTGCTGCTGAAGGAGGAGCACCTCATGTCCACCATGAACATGAAGCTGGGTCCTGCCCTGAAGATCTGTGCCCACATCAACAGTCTGAGAGACTGAGCTGCTCCACAGTCTCCTGGTTTGACACATGGTCTGGACCAGGAACGGCTGAAAGAAGCAGCCAATGACAGCAGTGGAAAGACAGAGGTTGATGACTGTTGGACCAAACTCCCTCTGTCTCTCCCTCTGTCCCTCCCTCTGTCCCTCCCTCTGTCCCTCCCTCTGTCCCTCCCTCTGTCCCTCCCTCTGTCTCTCCCTCTGTCCCTCCTTCTGTCTCTCCCTCTGTCTCTCCCCCCGTCTCTCCCTCTGTCTCTCCCCCCGTCTCTCCCTCTGTCTCTCCCCCCGTCTCTCCCTCTGTCTCTCCCTCGGTCTCTCCCTCTGTCTCTCCCTCCGTCTCTCCCTCTGTCTCTCCCTCCGTCTCTCCCTCTGTCTCTCCCCCCGTCTCTCCCTCTGTCTCTCCCCCTGTCTCTCTCTTCTTGCAGTTCGACTCCGTCTCTTTCAGTCCAGTCTGTCCACCTGGTCTCTGACCAGAGGTCTTTTGATGGTTCTGTTGACGACCATCTTTGATTGGTTTTTATTTTATTTTTTGTTAGTTATGTTTTTCAAAGGTCCAAAAATAAAAAAATGATATGTGTGACCTTTTCCATCTAGAACAACTCCTGGATGAAGGTCCACCACATGGACCATTTGGTGGTCTTTCCTGTCACCTGGTCTCTGTGAATCCATGTTGAACTCGGACTCTGATCCGACCTCTTGTTTTATTGGACTGACGGGTCTGATGGTTGTAGAATTACTCTAGTTCAAAGTGCAGAACATTTTTTTCATAATTGATTCGAAATCCATGTATAAAAGTTTGACGTATTTACATTAAACCAATCGTTTTTAATTTAAGTGTAAAAAAAACCCCGAATCCACGTCAGAAACATTAAAAGTCTTTTGTTTTATTTGGCGCTGATTAAAGAACTGCGTAGTTGTATGCCTCTCCAAATCCCGCCTCCCTCAGATATCTCGCGATGTCTAGCGGTTCCGGGACTCTGAGAACTGTTCTCCCATTGGCTGCTTTCTCTCCCGCTTCTAGCTTTCGGATAAGTTCGGCGACAGAGGGTCGATGGTGAGGAGTCCAGTCGGAGCAGGAGCGGATGATGGCGAACCTGCGGCGGGTAAAAAAAAAAAAAAGAGGCGACATCGACTCTAAATGATCGATAAGAAGACGATTAGGAAACAAATGGAGACGTTATCGTCACACACACACACACACACACCGGGCTGAGCCCGACTTGTTTTGGTCTCACAGTGTGCTGGAGCAGGTGGCTGGTCTTTTCAGATGTTTCCCTCTCTGTAGATACTGCAGCAGCTCCGTGGACATCAGCTGAGCGAACGGTGGCTCCCCTGGTGGACACACCTGAACATGACTGTGGTTCATGGAGGAAACAAGCTGTGTGTTTTGGCACCAGGCTTACCAAGTGTAACCATCTCGTAGAGAAGAATACCAAAGGACCATCTGTCCAAAAAGACACAGGAGAGTCACTGTCCACAACTGTCCACAACTACAGGGAGTTAGTTAGAGTTAAAAGAACGCGACAAATTCAATTCTTGATATAAACGTGGTTTCTTCTGATTAAGGGTCACGGTGGATCACCACGATCATCACCACGATCATCACCACGATCATCAGACGTGGACAGGAGGTCTGTCCTGAAACTGTACTCGGTCAAATGTAGATCGGCCGTCTTTGTTTGTCCAAACGTCCCCTCATCTTTAATGAGACTCACACGTCGCTGCTCTGACTCAGGGCTCTCCGGGCCAGAACTTCAGGAGCCTGCCACTTCCTCAGCTCCATGGCGTCCGTGTCCCCCGGTGGACCGTCCCGTGTGGTCCTGCGGTACAGGGAGCCCAGCCCCCACAGCTTGGCTGTCAGGTCTCCCCCCACCAGGACGCTGCGGGCCCCGATGTTTCCGTGAACGTAGCCTTTACTGTGCAGATAGTCCTGCGTGGGTCGAGGGAGGAGAAGACAACTGAGGACTCTTTCAGGTTTTAGCAGCAGGGGGCGCTCTAGAGGTTTCATTCATAGACCTGTTGGACGGACCAGAGCAGAAGCCACCTGTCCTGCCATGATGAAGATCCTCTTCTCCGTCAGGTCACACGTCTGGACCGAGTTGTCCTGTGGAGACACCAGGACACACTGAGGAGGACACACTGGTGTCAACGCTGACCCCACAGGAGAGAGCAGTAATTACAGTGAGTACTGTACAGTCAGCAGTATTTACAAATACTACCTCTACTACAGCGCCACCTGCTGTTTTCTCAGCACTGTGATGTGTTCAAGTACCTGCCTGCACCTCCACAGGAAGCCCAGCAGCTCCCTCTGGTGGAGCTCCTCCATCACCATCATCAGAGGGGGCCGGGCCCAGACCACGCCCAGCATCCTGGGCAGGAACGGGTGCGACCCCAGGCCTGAGACGAAGGAGGCGAAGCCCAGGAAGTCGTGCTTCTCACTGCTGTCACCGCTGTCTGTGGAGGAGGTCAAAGGTCAGACATTTATGTGTCAGCGTGTGTGTGCGTGTGTGTGCGTGTGTGTTGGTGACCAGTCACTGGGCCGTGACCCACTCTTTACCTTTGAGCACTCTGAGGACCACGTCCCTGTCCTCCATACGTCCTCTGTACACACTGACCGTCTCATTGGTCCTGAGGGAGAAGGACAGGGGCAGGGCCGTCACCTGACTGAACGTCTCATGGCGCCTCTCTGTGGACACCTGAGGTGGTGCGGTCAGTGTGGGCTTCACATTCTGCTGCACGGGTGTAACTGACATTGGCACCTCCTCATGTTCAAGGGGGTTCAACCCAGGGGGCGCTGTGGGTGGAAGAAAAGTTTAGAAGTAGAACTGTGTGTGTGTGTGTGTGTGTGTGTGTGTGTGTGTGTTGTGCACTCACTGACCATCAATGCCCTGCAGGTGCTGTCTGTGGTGCTGTCTGTGGTGCTGTCTGTGTGATGGACCCACAGCCACACGTGAAGGTCTTTGTTGAGGACAGTAATGACGGAGACACAGGTAGAGTAAAGTGAGCAGCGTCCCCAAGAGCAGCAGAGTGGGGACAATGATCACGTCCTGCAGGTGTTCCCTGGTTACTGAGACAAAGAGTGGACACTGAGACGGGCTCAGAACGACAGGGGACAGGCAGGTCCCCACACTGAGGACATGTCTCACACTGGGGACATGGCTAAAGGTATTTGGTCCACCTTGTCCAAAGTTCTGTCCACTGTGGTCAGTACTGACAGGTTAGTGGACTGGTGTCCCTGCACTACAGTCTGTGTCTGTCCCTTTTCAGTTTTTACCTTATGAGTTGTTTCTTTTATTATTTGGAGACGAGAAATGAACGACCTTTAACACACACACACACACACACACACACACACACACCCTCGTACGACATGACAACAATGTTCAGGTGTGTGTGTGGTTGGACACATTCTTAGGTGTGAACCTGAGAGTCTGTCTTCACACACAGACCTGTTTTCAGCTAATGTTTTCAGCTAATGTTTTCAGCTAATGTTTTCAGCTAATGTTTTCAGCTAATGTTTTCAGCTAATGTTTTCAGCTAATTTTCAGCTAATGTTTTCAGCTAATGTTTTCAGCTAATGTTTTCAGCTAATGTTTTCAGCTAATGTTTTCAGCTAATGCTAACTCACTGACTCTTTACTATCATCACACTTTGACTACAGTTACAGGTGAAAAAAACTGTAGTATTACAGTGTGTCGCAATATATTGTATCAATGCCCCCGTATCGTGATACGTATCGTATTGTCAGTTCACACCCCCTAGTGTCCAGAGTGGGAATACAGAGACAGTGATGGACAGGTTCTTACTGCACAGCTGGTCGTCTGGAGAACACGGTTCCTCAGAGGAGGAGTTGGACCACATCCTGGAGAGAAGACAGGGACAAGGACGGGTCAGAGTCTGTCTGTCTGTCCGTCCTCATTGGTTACTGGTCTAATCTGTCTGTTGCTCCGTCAGTCTGATGGAGAACAGCAGCTCAGCCTCCACCCTCTCCTGTTACCAGTGAATTATTGAAGACCAGACGTTTCAGTGACAGACACTGAGGATGGACCAGGGGCTGGTCAGTGTCCACTGGACGTCCAGATGTCTTGACATGAAGAGTAGAGTAACAGACAAATGACTAACAATAAAGGACTGAGAGAATGGACTGTGAAACACACACACACACACACAGATGTGACTTAACCAGTTTGACTACATTATTTGACCAAACTCTCCTGCATCAACACACACACACACACACAGATACACACACAGATACAATAGTTCTAAACCATCCAATCAGTTGTTTAGTCCAGAACCAGAGTGACATGTGGACACTGGTCCAAACTGACCCCTGTGGGTTCCACAGTGTCGCCTGCAGGGGGCAGTGTGTTAACAACATATCTGCTGCTAACAACAATTTTCTTCAGTGTCTTTGTACCTCGTGTTACAATGACAATAAAGGCTGTTCTGGTTCTAGTCCTGGTCCTGGTCCTGGTCCTGGTTCTGGTTCCAGGTTTGTATGTAATAACACCGTGGTCCTCACCTGCTGGTGGTCCATGGAAGTGTCGAGATCCTCACTTTTTATGTCCTTTGTGTTGTTCTCTGGTCTTCAGTGTCCTTCCTACTGTGTACTGTGTACTGTGTACTGTGTACTGTGTACTGTGTACTCAGTACTCAGTACTCACTCACTCCTGCTGACACTAGTCTTTGTTTCTGTCGTACCTACTTCTCTCTGTGTCACCTGTGGGTTTGGCCACGCCCACTTCTCTACTGCCTCCCACACACACACACACACACACACACACACACACACACACACACACAGTGAGGTCTGCCTCAGCTCACAGATGGTGTCCCTGTCTGAGGACATGTCCCTGTCTGAGGACACGTCCTCTCTGTTGACATCCTGGTCCTGTCTGGTCTAGATCAGATGTTGGAACATAGAGCCAGTAGGTGGCAGTAATGACACACACATGTTTTTCAGTCTTTGTTCTAGTTTCCTGTGGTTCTGTGCAGACAGCTGCTGGTCCTGGTCCTGGTCCTGGTCCTGGTCCTGGTCCTGGTTCAGCGCCACCTTCACCATCCTAACAGCAGGTGTTTGTTTTTATCACTTGACAGTTTGATCAAAGAGTGTGTGTGTGTGTGTGTGTGTGCGTGCGTGAGAGACTGGTCCTGCCCGGTGTGTCCAGCAGCTTCGTCCTAGTGAAGCTGAAACCTGACAGTGAGTGTGTGGGTCTATTTTTGGGTCAGTGACTGTGTCAGTGACTGTGTCAGTGACTGTGTCAGTGACTGTGTGTCAATGGCTGCAGATGCATCAGAACGGAAAGCTCTGAGATACAAGCAGACCCTGGTCAGTGTCCTGTCTGTTGTCCCAGGTGTCTGTCTGTCTGTCTGTCTCACTTGTCTTTGTGTTTAACTACGTGTGCGTGAATGAAACACACACCGACTCTGTGTGTGTGTGTGTGAGAGAGAACTTCAGTGTGTTTTTGGTGCACGCATGTGTGTGTAGACATGCTGAAAACTAATTAGCAGCCATAATAATGACAGGGTTACACACACACACACACACACACACACTTCTCCCTCTCTCTCCCTCACCACCTGTTTCCTCCCATCTGCACCTTTTCTCCTTCCTGTCTTTATGATATTTGTGTGTGTGTGTGTGGGCGTAAAACACATTTTAGATTTTAGTTCAGACCAAAGTCCATGGAGAAAATCTGAGATTTTAGTTCAGACCAAAGACCATGGAGAAAATCAGAGATTTTAGTTAAGACCAAAGTCCATGGAGAAAATCAGAGATTTTAGTTCAGACCAAAGTCCATGGAGAAAATCTGAGATTTTAGTTCAGACCAAAGACCATGGAGAAAATCAGAGATTTTAGTTCAGACCAAAGTCCATGGAGAAAATCTGAGATTTTAGTTCAGACCAAAGTCCATGGAGAAAATCAGTTCAAATCTGTTCTTACTGAAATTCTTTGTTAGATTTACCTTAGTGAAACAAACTGACCACAAGAGGCAGCAGTGGACAAGTGGTTCTGTTTCCTGTGGTTTATACAGGAGCATGTTTGAATCTGGTCTGACCTCTGGTCTGACCTCTGGTCTGTGAACTATACGCTTCTGTTTTATTCACAGGATTGTTCATGGATGTGGTGGAGGTGCCGTGTTGTCAAGAAGGGAGCTGGGAGAGGAGGAGGGAGGAGGAGGGAGGAGGAGGGGGGGGGTAGTGGTTGATACACACCATCGAATCACACTGTTTCTAAATTTAGCCCAGAGTAATGTTTCAGTGACAGAGAGAGGTGGAAATACAGGAAATAGAGTGGAGGCCAATGGGGGAGGGGCTTAAGGAGTCACATGATCTGGACAGAGTAGAGTTTCAGAACGGTGGACAGGAGGGGAGTGATCAGCCAATCAGCAGCTGGCTGAACCTCTCTCCTCCCTCCATCATCTCCATGTTCTGCAGATGTATCTCTATCTCTGTGTCCAAACTAAGGTTCCCCTCAGCAGTGTGTCCGGGGTCAGTAACCTCTCTGATTGGTCCACAGCTCTATGGCGAGTACCAGGAACAGCAGGGAGGCTCGGGTCGACGTGAGGCCACCCGTCTGCTGACAGAGAGACAGATCAAGAAGCACCATCCTCGCTGTCACGCCCGAAACCGCCACGGACACGGCCGCCGTGGACAAAATGGATACCAGGCTCGCCACGGACCGCGGCCCGGTTCCCAGGGTCGGCAGAGGAACAGGCGTCCGTCCTACGTGGACATGGAGGACAACAAGGAGCAAACCACAGAGACGGACTTTAACTCCGTCAGGAAGAAACCTCAGTCGTCCTCCAGGTGTAGATGTGAGTCACACACACACACACACACACACCTGTCTCTTGGTCCAGTACTGCAGTAGTACTGCAGTACCATCTGTAGTCCAGTACTAACAGGTGTCTCCGTCAGACTGTGTGGTCAGAGTGCAGCGGTTCCTGGTCAACAGGTTGGGTGAAGACTGGATCTTCCTGGTTCTGCTGGGCGTCACCATGGCCCTGGTCAGCTGGACCATGGACTACACCAGCGCCAAGAGTCTTCAGGGTGAGGCAGGAGGACCTGCACAGGTTCTACTTCTCTCTCCCATGGTTTCTCTGTTACACTCACCCCCCCCCCCCCCCCCCCCCCCCCAGCCGATAAGTGGATCCACGGGGAGCTGAGGGGGAACCTGGCCCTGCAGTACCTGGCCTGGGTTTCCTATCCTCTGATCTTCATCCTCTTCTCCTCCCTCTTTTGTCACCTGGTTTCTCCTCAAGCCATTGGTGTGTAGCTCCTCCCCTGGTTCCTCCTCTCTGTCTGGGTCTGTTGTTGACCAGAGAACGTCTCCTCCCCCTCAGGCTCGGGGATCCCAGAGTTGAAGACCATCCTCCGAGGTGTTGTGCTGAAGGAGTATCTGACTCTCAAGGCGTTTGTTGCCAAAGTCATTGGTCTGACGGCGGCGCTGGGCAGCGGCATGCCTGTGGGCAAAGAGGTGAGGGTTCAAGTCTGACGATGGAGCGGCTCCTCCTTTGACTCCAGTCCAGAGTCTAGTGGTTCTATTTCTAGAGGTTTAGAGGTTAGGTACTGCGTACTGTGTACTGTGTACTGGGTACTGTGTACTGTGTACTGGGTACTGCGTACTGTGTACTGTGTACTGGGTACTGTGTACTGTGTACTGGGTACTGTGTACTGTGTACTGGGTACTGTGTACTGTGTACTGTGTACTGGGTACTGTGTACTGTGTACTGCGTACTGTGTACTGCGTACTGCGTACTGTACACTGTACACTGTACTACTGACCCTGGAGGACCCTGGAGGTCACAGCAGTTTGTACACAGAGGTTTCTGAAACCTGCCTCAGATCATCTGCTCCTCCACCAGCTCCTCCTCTTCCTCCTCCTCCTCCTCAGGGTCCGTTTGTCCACATCGCCAGTATCTGTGCTGCTGTTCTCAGCAGGTTCATGTCCTTCTTCTCAGGAGTTTATCAGGTCCGTCTTCAAACCTGAATGAAACACACACACACACACACACCTCCTCCTCCTCCTCATCTTCCTTCTCCTCCTTCTCCTTCTCGTGCTCCTCCTCCTCCTCCTCTTCCTCCTCCTCCTGTCTGAACCACTAGAATCCATACTGTTACACAGACATCCTAACAGTAGGCTGCGCTGTTGGGGTGGGCTGCTGCTTTGGGACACCACTGGGAGGTAAAAGCCAGCGTTTGTCTTTCTCTTCTCTGTTAGCGCCTGAGCTCCGTGAGCAGAGATACTTGTTGTTGTCTCTGTCCACCACCAGGTGTCCTCTTCAGCATCGAGGTCACGTCCACCTACTTCGCAGTGAGAAACTACTGGAGAGGATACTTCGCAGCTACGTTCAGTGCCTTCATCTTCAGAGTCTTGTCAGTGTTCAACAAAGACGCAGGTATGAAACACACTGACCAGGTCTGTCCACCAGGGGGGGACCTCCTCTATCCTGTAGGGATGGATTGGTGGTGCGTCTTTATAGGCCAAAGTCCTAGTGGTTCTCTTCAGTCACTGCAGCCTTTGTCTTCCAGTCACCATCACTGCTCTGTTCAGGACAAACTTTCGTATGGACTTCCCCTTCGACCTCCAGGAGCTGCCGGCGTTCGCCATCATCGGGTGAGTCACAGGTCACTGAGATAATCAAGAGGTCAGAGGTCACTTCAGGTCGTGTTTACACTCTGACCTGTGTCTTTTCTCCTTCAGTTTTTACAACCAGACGTGTGTGTGTGTGTGTGCGCAGGATTTCGTGTGGATTTCTTGGAGCGTTCTTTGTTTATCTCAACAGACACGTGGTTCTGTTCATGAGACACCAGAACTCCATGACCCGCTTCTTGACCAAACAGTACGGACACAAATACATATACACTATATGTATGTGCAAATATATGTCATTAAAAAACAGTGCATAAATAAACACATACAGTATAATGTAGGGTAATGACCTAAGTTAGACACAGGAGGGCACTGTTGTTCTTGATGGGACACCGTGTTTTTGTTGCTGTGACGTGTTCGGAGCCTGCGTTTGTCTGTATCGCGGTCACGTGATCACTGGGCGTGTAAAAACAAAGACTGAGCATTAAAACAGCACTCCTAAGTCCACCAGCAGGGGGCAGTCACCTTCTCTGTTTACCTTTTGATGTGAATGATCATTGAATTTTAATGTATAATTAGAATCATTTTGACTTGTTTTTCAAAGTCGTGTATTTTTAGTTTATTGACATCATACTGTATGTTTGTCTTATATTTCATTCTACAACTGTACTGTGATATAACAGTGGAGGGTGATAACAGTGGAGGGTGATAACAGTGGAGGGTGATAACAGTGGGGGGGTGATAACAGTGGAGGGTGATAACAGTGGGGGGGTGATAACAGTGGAGGGTGATAACAGTGGGGAGTGATAACAGGGGG